ATTTTCAAATGGATGTTGGGTAGGATACAACAAAGTCAAACAAACAAACAAAAAATAACATACAAATAATAAAAAGCATCAATAAAGCACATCAGAGTCGCTTTGTGTGAGATGGGCAGCTATATAAATGTGACAAATAAATAAATAAACTTTAAAAAATGGCATTCAGTCAAAATAACCTGGCAGCTAAATGTCTACTGGAACAATATTGTTTTGTCTAGTTTTTGAAAGGCTTATAGAGTGAGGACCACCCATATTCCCAGGGGGAGAGTATTCTATAAAATAGGGGCCATAACTGAGAAGGCCTGTCATCTGCCACACTTCCCATGAACCTTGCAAGGAGCAAGGAGATTCAACAGGCCATCTCTAGATGATAGAACCAGCAAAGAGATTTGATATTGGTACGACATTGTCTGATGTACCCCAATGCTGCACCATAAAGATGGTATACTTTGAATTGTGCCAGGAAACCTATAGGGAACCAATGCAGCAATTTCAAAATAGATGTTATTCTTGCCTGACTGAGTTTGACCCATCAGGAGTCTAGTTGCCATATTTTGTACCAAATGTAGTTTCCAGGCTGTTTCCAAATGGAGCCCCAAATGAAGCCCCTTGCAATAGTCCAGCTGGTCAGGCCATGAGTTACCCTCATCAGGCCATTTTGCTCCAAGTAGTGTTGTAAGTGGAACACCAGTTGAAGCAGTTTCTAGCCACAGCTTCCACCTGCTGTTTAAGATGGAGCTACTGTTTACCAGGAGACACCCCCTACCCCAAGTCATGAACCAACTTCTTCAGAGGGAGCACAATGCCAAAAAGGGTAACTACTGGAGCAAATGTTGCAAGTTTCTAATGCCTCCTGTGGTTATTATTTGTTGTTTTTAATTATGTACACTGCCCTGGGTTGCACATCAAGTGCACTGATTTAATAATTTATTTAATAAATAAATAAAACATAAAAATGGCTCCAATGTCTATTGATGACAACCAACTCCACCTTGGTAGGATTTAATCTGAGCTGTTTTGCCCTGTCCATATCCCCATAACCTTCAGACATTAGTTCAGGACATTTTCAGCTTGGCCAGGGTAGCAATGCATAAGTAGGTGTCATGAGTATACTCATAATACTTTATCATATACCAGCAGTTTTGTGTAGATGCTAAATAACATTGGGGAAAGCACCAACCTTAAGGAATCTCGCACCCCCTGGCCACTGACTAGAAACTACCAATGAGTTAAGAGGAGAACATAATAAAGCAGCGCCCCCAACTCCCACCCCCTGTAGGCAGTCTAGAAGGATACCAATTATGATGCTACCAAATACCTGTGAGAGATCTTGGAGGACCCAGAAGCAGTGCATTCACCCCATAGTGGCCCTGATTAAAGTCATAATCCATAGCAACCAATGCTGCTTCTGTCCCATAACCAGGTCTGATTCCTGACTGAAATGGTCCAGAAAATCTGTTTCATGTAGGATCTTCTAGCTGATTTGCTAACACCTCCTCAACCATCTTTGCAAGGAAGGAAAAGTTGGAAACTGGTGAAAGTTGTCAAAAATAGCTGGGTCCAGGGAGGGCTTGTGTCAGAATCCTCGCAAACCATTTTTGCACAATATTTCTTTATGCTAGCCACTTTGCTTTTGCACTTGCTTTGGTTCTGCCATTAACAGATGGGAGGGGAGAATACAAAGTGATGTGGAGATGGAAGCCGGGATGGACTGTTACAAGCAGATGGGCTCTTATCACAGGCACTGGAATGCTCAAGATCGTACCAACAGGAGAATGTGAGAAACATTCTGGACATAAGGAGGGTGAGGGGGAAAGAAAGGGAAAAGGGAAAAGTAACTTTTGACGCACGCAGGCTCAGTCTTAGCAATGCTTTGGATCTGTACACTTACTCTCAATAAATGAACTTTCTCTTGAATCATAAATGGTTGCCTGGAGAGTTACTGGGATTGAGGGCTGGAGGTGTCAGGTTGTTACAGCTTGTTCAGGAGGGATGAATGATTGCTTCCTTTAAGGCAGGCATGTTTACTGTCTCCCAGATCCATCCAGCTTCCCTTCCTTAGCTATCTGAATAAGCCACAAGGAGCAGGATTCATGTCCACAGGTGGCAGAATTCAAACGACAGGCTATCTTATCTATTTCCTCAGGCTCTGTAAAAACAGAATAATCAGAGGGTGACACAAGTGGATTCTGTTCAACTGGCATCCAGGTCAGAGCAGAATTGTTTGACTTTATTCACCAAGAAACCTGCAAATTCATCTGTTGTGCCTGCAGGGGGGTAGCTGGCAGTTTGCATGGGGCCAGTGCCTCCCAGTGTAATGGGGAAACTGCATCCAAGGGTGGCAGTTGATTTGGAGGTAGTGTAAGTTAGGATTGCTAATGCTATTTCTCCCTAGCAATGCAATTTCTGTAATTAACTACTACTATGTATCTGATAATGAAATAATTGGCTTCACAGTAGTGGAAATATTTTCAGAATGGACTTCAAAATGGTGTTTAAGTCCTAATTTATTAGTTTTCAACTGTCCCCATTCATTTTTATTCTGCAGTATACAGCAGATTTGTGTACATCACAATACTGTAGTTTGAGCACTCCAGGTGCTGATTCTTCCAAATCTGCTGGGCTGCTTGCACCCCACTGTGACAAGATGCCTCGAGATCAGCAGTTATGGGACCATATACCTGTTATCTAAACTGTGATTTGCACAAATTGCGCACAGACACTGTTCTTTTTCTAAAAGATCAGAGGTGGAGTCAAAGGACTTAAAAAGAGACACTGGACTGTTTGGTGATATGGAGCATGGTGGAGCATGGTGCAGTGTGGTTCTTGGAAGGATTGCTGTTCATCTGCTGTTTCTTCAGCAATACGTTCGTCCCCTCGCCCATCTCCATCTTCAGTCTAATAGAATTGGATTATTGGTCCTTATCCTAGGTGGAAGTTTGGTAACTTATTTCTCTTTAGAAATTAATTCTGTTAAGAATAGAATATTGATAATAATGGTCTTTGAGCTATTTTTCACTTTGTTCAGTAGCAATGCATAGTCTCTGAATAACTAATGAAATCATACAAGACTTGGTTATTTTTAATTTTACATTTTGGTGCTAGCATCCCTGTATAAGATTGTACAGTGTTATCCACTAACTGGAAAATTTGCTGAACAAATATAGTTTATAGTATGCATACCAAACTTCTAAGAGAGATCCCTTATTCCTATGTTCATCATAACATATATATCTATGCAAACTTATGCACAGTGAAGGATGAATGTTAAAAGCACTTTATTCTTTACTGATACAGAAGCTCATAGTTAATTAGTAATAAGTCACTAAGCAGAACAGTGAGCCATACCACATCATAATCAGTTGCACTGGAAAACCATTCTGATCATATCTAAAGGACAACACACGTTTCTCCTCCTATGTTGTCCGCACCATCCCCTTATTTGAAACTGGGGCTTTCAGAGAAAGCACTTTCAGCAGGCTTTGTAAAGAATGGCACCTGTGTTTTGGCCACATCACAGCCCAAAAGTCTTGAGCAGAACCAGCACAATAAAATATGTAGCACTGGTTTCTAAATATGAGCTGGATGACACGTCTTTAGAGAAAGACTGGTTACAAAGAAGCACCAGAAACGTTTGCAGGAAACTTTCAACCTGAGATGCTCTGCTTGTTCTTTGGGAAATGTGTTGAATTACCCCAGATCGAACCACCCACTGCCATGTCCTTCCCTCCCTTATTTCTTTTCCCACTTTGTCCTTATTGCTGCTGCAGAGGACTACTTTTCACTGCTGCTCCTCCTCTTCCCTACCCTAGTTCCTCATTGGATGGCTGGGGAGAAAGAAAAAAACCCCTGTTTTCTGGAGATTGTTGGGAGCCCAGTATGTGCAACTTTATAATACATCACATCTGGAATGCTGGTGCTTTGGGCAGGGGCATGTTCAGCAGCTGGCTCATAAAAGTAATACTGTGTGGTAGGGTTCAGTTTGTTCCTTTGTTGGTTATGGGAGAATTCTGTAAGTTAGGGCTTCTGAGGATGCATTGTCTAGTGAAGGATAGACGATCATTTTTTCCATTTTAACTTTTCTGTGCTGCAGTATAAAAAGTCAAATACGCATGGGTTAAAAGCAAGGTAGAATTAAAATATACCGGAACTTTTTAGTTTGAATAAGTAAGAAGGGAAAGGAATGGATTGTTGATGGCAAATGTGGTTATATTATTGCAAAACCTTTCTTCAACATGCATTATTGAACACTGAATATGAGTAGAGGATAACGAGATCAGGACATGTAATCCACTCTGGGAAATTTCAGAATTATTATTTATAAAAAATAATAAAGGCAGGATAAAAATCTAATTAATAAATAAATATATAATATACCATACTGTTGGGTATTATCTATCAGATTCATTACTTTCATTTTCCTAGAAGTGCAATGTCTGCTTAAATGTCTGCTTAGAAATACAACCCATTGAATCATTGTTAAACGCTGAGAGTGTGATTCAATTACGATGAATTAAATACATACATAAACAAGAATGCATGAGAATGCACCTTAATTCGTTTGGGTTTACAAGAGTGATGTGCTGAGTGAAAGTTATCTAGAAAACAAATATAGAGTTATTTGAAACGGCAACTTTCTTTTGTATCCTTGGATGTGATTTTTAATTTTTCTGACTATACACTGAACAAACTAATCATATATTGAAGCTTCACATTTTATTAGTTTGCATACACAATGTTTTTCTGCAGCACAGTGCCCCACAGTAGCATTTCCAGTAAATTGACTCTTGTATATTTGCAGAAAGTCTCCTGCTCTTCTAATTCTTAGAACAGCAGTTAGCTACAGAGATGAAACAGCCAAAAGTCTAAGTCTGTGAATTAATACTGTGCAGACTGTAAGCAGGATCAGCCTGGCTTATCCTGATCTATCAATTAAAAAAGCAAAACAAAGAGGTGCATGAAATCAAGTGACATTATGGTAGGAATCACACGTATATGATGGACTGTAATTTTCCTTCTTTAGACTATTGCTAATTCTGAATACAGTATGGTGTGTACATTTTTAACTAAGGAGCCAACATGACAGTTTTGAAGATCTTGCTCTGGTTATGGATGTACTTGGAACACTTTGCTATAGCACGCCATAGAGACTTTTGATATAATTCTCTGTCTAGTATTTCCTGATTCTTGGTTTTACACAGTTTCCCACAATCTGGACTCTAGTATAGTAGCTTTTTAAATGATCATGTTAAGCCATTGTACAGAAACTGAAAGATAATCATATTTCATTGTCTTTCCTTATCAAATTTATTCACAATCTATCGCTACTTGCAAGCCTACCGTTCAACTAATGTCTAAATTTGGTAATAATTTCAGTGACAAAATGCACTATCTACTTGGAAGCAGAAGATATCAAGTCATAATGCATTATAATCACAGGTTTTAAATTTTCCTGTAACTTTAGTGAAAGTTGCCTAAAATTACCTAGAAATGCAGTACAGAAGATGAAAACTGACAGTACAATTGTCCTTCATCAGACATATGATTTCTAATAGCTGAGAAGCTTCCAAAACACAGGGCTTTTGCACTACTGATACAGATCTACAGTATTTCTAACTTTTGTGCTAATGCAGACTTCAGTATGTTTTCTAGCAGTGTATTATTTTGTGGGGCGGGGGGATATTTATTTCTTCAAAAAAGCACAGAGCCTACACACTACCTTGTAAAAACGTGGTACAAGACATAAGATATTCTTGAAATCTCATGACTGAGATAACTTCCAAGGAAAAAGAAAGGCCAATTTTAAGATTTCTCTAGTACCATTCTTAGTATCTGGCAGCATCTCTGTTAGGAGCTCCTTCAAGACATCTTGATATTTTTCCAACTGTCTGGAGTTCAGATGTATTCCAATTTCTACTGGAGCAATCATCTGTGAAGGAGAAATTGGTTAACATATAAGGCAAACCAACATTTTAATCACTTTCTGCATCATGTACACTGAAGGAAAGGGAATTTGTTAACAATGAATATTATTGGTAAAAGGGGTTTCACAATTCAGATTTTAGCTTGATGATGTGACCTGTGGAATAGGGTTAAGCTGCTTTTTCAAAGGGTGATTGTGAAAGTCAGTTCCAGTGGTTTTTGTTCTTATAGGTTTTGACAATCTGTCACATTTCCAAGTGCTTGAGGCTACAGTCCCGTGCACGATGATGCATGCATATCAGTGACTGAAATCTGTTGAACTACTGGATTGTGATTGATTCAAACATCTGGAATAGCAAGAACATTAGCCTTCATACATAGAAATATGAAGTCCCTCAGGTGGCGGGGAAAAAGTCCCCCCTGAAAGCATAGAAAAAAATCCTCAATGTTCATAGAATAGAATGCAAATAAAATGAACATATTTGCTCTTGTTGCTTGCTTTTATGGTTTTTGAACACTTTCAATAGGTAACACAGGTGGATTGAAGAGAAACATGAGAGTACTGATGTAATGATTTTGGGATGGATTGGGACATTTTAAAGGACTCTTGTGCTTTGAATGCAGTTTTTTGAGGGACTGAGACAAGATTAATTTTCATAATTGCATAGCTACCCTTTGGATTTTATCTGCTGGGACTTGCTGATAGCGAACGGTAGACAGTATCTATATTTTCAGAATATTGTTGCTGGCAGTGTAGAGATGAAGTGGGGAGGAGGAAGTAATGGACATAAATTTGGCCTTTGAACTCAAGGGACCTGAATTACATTTTCAGCATTGTTACAAATGCTCTATATCTCTGTTCAGAATATACTGCTGGAAGTAGTGTGATATATGTAAACATAATGCATGCTAGATATTCTGGTGGCATATACAGCAAATTCAAGGTGTACAAATTATTCATCTGAAGCAAATGCACAAAAATAGTACAAGATGTACAAGTTGTCAGTTGGAGGCAATAGTTGGAGGTAATCAGCATATTGGTGGGTGGGATAGAAGAATTTGTATGCCAAGCTTAAATTCACATTGCATTCCCTTTGTCCTGTTCTGATTATTTAAGTAATGATACAGTATCCAAAATGAGACGGCTTGAATACTTATGTATATACCTTGGTATGCCTATGTAACACCTCTACTTCAAGAGCTGTAATGGCTACTACAGTAGTTGGCTTCTGGGTGCAATTCAAGGTGCTGGTTGTCATCTTTAAAGCCCTTCATGGTTCAAGGCCTGGAAATCTGCAGACTTCCTTCTCTCAGTAACATCTGCATGCCCAATAAGATTGAGATGGCCAGACTTGCTCTGGATCCCTTTTCTCATGAACTGCATTCTGCTGGGACCTTGGAAGCATGCCTTTCCAGTTGCAGATGCTGCCCCTTGGAATAGCTTGCCCACTGACATCAAAATGGCCCCTTTCTTCCTGGCCTTCAAAAAGTTCATTAAAAGCTGGCTACTCATCAGGGCAAAGGGACTGGAATTCTATGACTGCTGCCTTGGGGGAGAAATAGTGTTTTAATTTCTGGTCCATTGAGTGCAAAATTTCTGGTTTTTATATCCACACCCCCCCCCCTCACTTGGCCTATGCTATTATTTATACTGTTAAATATACGTTTTTTTTAAAAAAATCTGAATTTATGAAGATGCTACTCAACATCAGCTTTGATTGTAGCAGCTTATCA